TGCGATGCGTTAGGCAAGTCCCTGTCTTCATTAAGAGGAATCAATCCAAAGGGGCCCAAGGTTCAAAAACCGTCTCAATCTTGCGTCAGTCGTCCCCAGAAAAGATTACTGACGGTTTAACGAAAATACGTGGCCCTTCAAGTATTGTATGAAGAGCGGGCTGACGCTGAAACAGAGTTGGTTTACGTTTCGTGCTATATATGTTTCAAGACGTGTGAAATCCCAAGAGTCGTATTCAGGCACACGCCCTCATAAATCAGGAATGCGAGTAGAGGAGCCTCGGTCTGAGCAATAGCATAGGACCGGGTTTTTTTCGTGGTATAATCCCGTTCATAGACAAAATTTCATCGCCTGTCACATACTGTCCATGAGAACGGCAAGGCCACCGCCATTTTGAAATGGAGTAGCGCAACCACACACCTGCCGGCATCTCGCGGGATATGGATTACAGGTAGCAAAGGTTACTGTCACGAACTGACAGATTAACTGTTAACAGCAATATTTAGTCGCAAAACCGACATGGAATCCGAGAAAAAAGCAAATATTTCTTTTCCGATGCCTCCGCTCAAACGACTTCTATTTGGAAATCGGAGCCAGATGTTAGACCATTAGATGAGGAACTGTGACACAAAGAATGGCGGTGTGATGTTTGTTGAATTCCATTTTCCTACCTTGACGTGTAATTAGCGACTGGTGAGTAAAGAGATTTATGACATACTCATGCTGCCAACACAGGGGCACTGTTGTGGTTTCTGGGAACAATTACGCACCCCCCCGTTCCCGTCGTATTTCTCTCCCCCTTCTGGTGAGACCCTCCACCCTTTTCTCCATCACCCTCTCTCATCTTCCCGCATCATCCTGAATTTTTCTCACTTCCCGCATTTTCCCGGAGTTTTGCTTAGTTTTTTTTTCTAGAAATTCCTGATTTTCTTCGCGTAAAGAAAGAGCGGTTAATTGGTAAGCAAGCGCACTACAGCGCACGTTGACACTGGAAAAAAACTCAGGCGCAAATGCGACGTCTCGCTAGGGATCCCAACGTACGACGTGCTCTGGCTGCAACTATAATAACACCACAATGCTCCTTTTACTGCTCTATTTTGAGCAGAGTATCTTCATTAAGCGAGACGGACATGACTTTTTTCAATAATAATTTCCGGCTTGCAATTTTCTACCATAGGATCATAGGATATCAATCATTAGTCCTTTCACGTTTTTGCTGAGGTGAAGAGATCCCCTCTAAATCAAAATAAATCCCGACAGTTTTCAAAAGAACAGACGAAATTATTACGCCTACAGTTTTCCGTTGAACCCGTCCATCACTATTTTGGGAATATCACTTGTCGCGAACGGGGCAGCGGGCGAACAATACTGGCGTCTCAAGTTGTTCAGATCAGAACTCGTGCAGGTGCCAGAAGAAAAGAAGGAAACGCGAGTATTTTGAAGACTTGCCTGGTTTCGGCGACACAGCGAATAATACCAGAATGAGTAATGGAATATTCATAGCCTTCAAATCATCGATGGTTCTCCCGATATCGCAGTAATTTTTGGAATATTTCGAGATGAATAGGTTTTAAATAATAGTTGACAGAAGGTGAGCTTCCTCAAAGACGACCAGAAATAAGCGTCAAGTATCCTTTGAGAGTGTTGCTCGTTCAAGTCCGCAAACGAGGAGCCGGTAGTGGTTCTTGGGGGGTGCGGCACTCAATGGAAGGAGTTCGACTCTGTCGCGGGGTGGTCAGCGGTCAACAATGATCGACTGCCACATGTCAATCTATCGTCGCGCTCTTTCCGCTCCCTTAAGAGGCTGAAAAAGCACGAAGGGCTTGGGGATCAAAGAGAAGCTTCATCCAGCTTAGACTCACTACTTACTACTTACGTCATCTTTGTCGGACTAAAGAGAATGCTGGTGGAACAGTGTGAACGGAGTGGTGAGGCATGACATGAGGGCTCCTCCTAAAGAAACATGCTGGATCAGTTTCGCAGATCGAAATTCATAAGCGGTTACGTTTCATTCACCGTGGTCAGTATCAGTAACATTCCAGTGGGTTCGAGAGCAAATGAAAAATATTCGAGTTCATAAGCATTTTTAGTAGGTGCACTGTAAGGACGTGATATACATTCAATAATCACTATGTTCCTGAATAGGAGTACTAGAATGTAGGCGCATCCCGAAAAGCCACTGGTCTGTGCAAAACAACTTGCGATTTGTCTTGCATTCGAATGCTTGTGGTAATCTCCTTCAACTTAATACAGTTAGTTTTTCTTTCATTTTCTTAGAGAAGGGGTGCGAACGTAGCTCTCTTCTCCAAAAGGTATTACCTTCTGCGGAAATTTGCACACATTTAAGCAATAACTCCTACGGATGGCAGTAGTCTTGGAAGGGGATATTCGAATGATTTCTCAGGCAAATGGGATTAGCTTGACTAAAATATGATTCCCTGTTTTACCTTGTCTTCCCTCCCCAATTAAAGAGCTGCTTCCCCCAGAGCTGACGGCTAGTTCACGTGGTGAGGCTACCAAATGGTACTTAGGGCGAAGCCTACACAGGCGCAACCCGGTGCACTTTTCCCCTTGGAAACATGGTGGTTCACCTGTAACTACATTTGCAGGCTTTTTACCAAGTGCCTTACAAAGTCTCACTAATGAGACTTGTTGCTAACATGGACTAGCGAAGCGGCACGTATCGATGAACCTAGCAATAATGCCCCCCGTCTCGACCGCAACAGCACTTGCAAAACCGCGGTAACTATTACGGTGAAATTTTGTTGCGAAGAAGCGCCTTCTGAATACCCCTTTCGGAAATCAGCCAGCATACTCAGCCATCCGCTACCACGCTTCACACTTCAATATTTTGAGAAGGATTTCCGCCATGCAGTGGCAAATTATTCCGTCGATCTCGGACGAACTTTTTGGCTTACCACACTTGATCCCTCGAAAGCCCTCCCCCTCCCACCGGTAACGCCTCATAAGATTATTGGTTCCCTTTCATTGCTCGTAGATATCGATCAACACAATAATGAACACCACGATCCACCAACTTCATTAGACTACTGCACTATCAATCCCAGAACTTCAAAACTGTGGCGGATGCGGGGCGAAGAGGTCCAGAATCTAGCTCTTCAGCTATTTTCAATCATCAGACTTTTTCTTCGTGATGCAGTTTTCTGCCCGAAAGAAGCGGTAGTCAGACGAGGCCGTCCGCAGAGTAGTGAGTGTGTGGCACAAGTTCCTGTTCAAGTGCCATTTTCTGGCGAGTAAGCTTTGCCAGATGAGCATTGACATTGACAAAGTAGTCCAAGATGATCAATTTTAATGCGCTTCAATTGCTGCGTCTTCCAATTACTGTAGTTGAGAAAAGTAGAGCTGAGCGCTTGCTGTTGGTCAAAAAATATAATTCCAAATCCGCAAAATTCTCAAAAAAAATTGAGCTGTTCGGCCTAGTACGAGGGGCACCTGCAATTTCGCTAGTTTTATTTTTTTGATATTTCATGCTACCCACAGGTATCGCCTCAATGAATCTTGTGAATGCCTTGTGAATCTGCAAAGTAGTACAAGTGAGTCACTCTGGTTCCACGAACTAACAGGTCTTCACAAGTCATCTGCAGAAGCATCTCTGTGTACCAATGGGTGCCCCCACCATACCGAACTGCGCCTCGAGAATCGTCAAGTACTTGAAAATGCCTTTGATCCACACAATATCATGCTAGAGTCATCCAAAGCTATATCTCCAGATAGCCGATCCTAGGATTGTGGAAGGTTCACTAACCCAGCTGTCCTTGATCCTAAGGGGAGGCCTAGCGGTCAGCTTTTACGGGGAAACGTATTCTGCGACCATGCTACGCTATTCACTTGAGAAACTCGTTTAGCACCAATCCACCGGGGTTCAGTCCCGATAAATCCCAATTTGGGCCAAATATGCGCTGAAATTCCTCTAAGCTTCGGAAGAGGAGGCAAATGTGTTGTGCGGAGGTTTAATCAACACTAAGCACCTGATCCTTTTTCAGCAATTTCCAGCAAAGGGCAGCGCAATTGCAAGGATTTGAGAGAGAAAAGTTCCGGTTTTCGTAAACATAATCATTGTAAACACATTGTAAACATTCTTGTTGTATACATATTTATTTATTTTCTAAACATAATTATTTACCTAGAGAAAAACGACAATTTATTAACTATTACTATATTATATTATTTATTGTTTATCAACGGTCCTTTCGACGTAAAAATTATCGCTACCCTTGAGTGGCAGAGTTTAACCGAGTGCTCTCATACGCCAAGCCAGGTGTTTAGAAACAGGTGATGTCTCCTCCAAAGTGCCCAACCAAGTTGTCCCCAGATGTCGTCTAAGGCGTAATCCGCACGTAATAACTCATCGCAGGAGGTACTGTGAGAGCAGGAGATGCGGTAAAGAAAAGGCATACCGCCGCACCTCCTGGGGAAGGTAAACACACAATTAATAGCTGCATAGCAGGTCCCAGGTCGTCGTGCGTATCGCGCATGCATAGCGGGAGACCTCGTATTACAGTAATCCAGAGTGCTTTTGAGCGCTTTTCTTATTACGGTACTAATATCTGGCGGTGTCTGGCTTGGGGAGGGGTCTTTTTAGTTTGTCAAAATCTTTTACTGGTTCTTTAACTTACAAGTTCCACCTTGTTGAGACCTGTAAAATCTTATCAAATAAGACCAAAGCTGGCGCGGTTGCATAGCTTCACAAGAGTTTACAGGTCCAAACGGGAGCCATGGACGGAGAACAGGCAATCGATGGGAACTAGTAAATCGCCCCCACCAAGCCGAACTGCGCTCCTAGGCTTTTACCACAACTACTTAATCACAACCATTTTCAATTATATACACAGAATTTCTCTGAAAATCGTTAGAGTGATGTAAATATATTTATTAGCGAGATGGCCGGAGTGACCATATCCGAGAATTTGTGGATGCGTTGAACCCGAAAGATGCATCCGTAGGTGAAGAACCGGTGCCGCACGAGCCAAGGTTGAAGGCTATAATTGGCTGTTGATAGAAAAGCCAATCTGGAACGTGTGGTAAGGCATGTAGGCATCTGGTCGAGTGATGTTCGCTGTGTCTCGCATAGGCTCCGTTGGCGCCGGTGCCTGGCAAGTCGAACTGAGCTGTTTTCGAAGATCGGTGATCATCTGGAAATGGGTGGCTTTTAACAAGAGTCGCACACACTGATATTCTACCCCCACCCCTGCTTCCGGAAGGCATGACCTTTTAGAAGTTATGCCTCCGTCGGGATAATAAGCTTGCTCTTTGCACTATAGACTATGCGGAGTAGT